TCATACTCCAGACAAATTTCTTTTTCGTGCACACGATCTTTATTGTCCAGTTTTGGAGATTTCAAGACCACGGCAGAAAAAGAATTGCACCGCCGGAAGGGCAGCTTAAAGACTAAACATCAAACGGGTTTTTGTATTAAAACTTTTTTCCATTTTTTTTTTTGTATTATGACAATTTTTCTTACAAAATTCTAATTTAATTTAGAAAAATGGACATCTATGAAACATAACAGCAACTGAACTGCTTCCAGGTGTCACAACAATCGTTTCGTTTTTGTATTTTTCTGCTCGCTAAAACTCCTTCAAGTTATAATGCTTACACGAACAGCTTTGTGTTATCAATTGATTGGACTGAGTTCAACTTAAGGTCAGAGCAGAATACGAGAATAATTTCTTTCTCCTGCAGTTTCAAATAAAGTCACCTTCCCTTCTAAAGTTTTAATCACCAGCTGGTTATAGCTGTGACACTTGTCGAGCTGAATTTGAAAGAGCCAGAAGAAAGTTTTCCCCATCATCATCTTTATAAAGAGAACTCGTGAGCAGTCTCAACAATACAAATCAGACACTAAGAGAACTTCATAGCTGGTTCGTGATTGTTTCTCACCCAAAGTGCTGAAAGATAAAGATATAGGAGTTTGCTGATAGCCCAAGGAAGAACACTTTGACTTAAGACCCGGTGTTGCACTTAAAGTTGATATTCGTGCATGGCGAGTAATTTAAAGACGGATAATTTTTCCGTCTCGCTTCGCGTCGCCGCAGAATTAGAGGTTTTCTCGCCTTATTTCGAGCACTCTCAGAAGGCTCATAAAAGAATGATTTTTCAGTTGGTGGCAGAATGATAAAGTCAGGGCTTTAATCAGATCTCGTTTGCTCACTCAGTTTACGGCTCTCAACGATTCAGGAAGCTTGTTTACACGAAGGGAAGAATTAACTCCGGGAAATGAAAAGCTGTATTGTTTCAAGCTTCATTTGAAAAAGAAAATAAGTACTATTAGCAGATTTTGTAATCAATCGCGCATGTGTATTTTGATAGGGGCGAAATATTCTTTTATGATTCCTTGCTAGGCGGTTTGCCCCAGATCTGTTTCATTTTCTCAAAAGTTTTCCTTTCTTATGGACGAGTAAAGTTAAAAAAAAAAAAAAATATGAGCAGTATAACAAATATTTACCCACAGTGAGGGATTTAAGTCAACTGAATCCAATATGCATATGGTGTGGTTTCACGACGTTAATGGAAAAGTGCAAAACTGAGGATGATTAATTCACAATATCCGGTGGCGAAGAGGTTTCACCCACATATAATCATCACATATCCACAAATATTGAGAATAGACAACTGAGAACTCGTTTGTTTCGGTAAAAAAGAACGTTAACAATAATAGCAAGAGATTTAAATATAGGTCCAGATGGTCTGTCTCAATGCCATGCAGGGTAAATTGCAAACATTGCAAATATGAATCCTTGATGGAAGAGTGCAAATCGGTAAAAGCATAACAAACTCACAAAAATCATCGGCAAAAAGGTATTCAACATGTGCAAACCGGATCATTAAGTGCCTGTAATAACCGGTCTGTGCCCTGTGTCGTAAAGTAAGACCGACTGCGAGCACGTCATCAGCTAATGAGAGAACGAAGGATTTTGGCCCGCTAGAATGATTCAGGGAAAACATTCAGCTCTAATATAAGTTGTATTTTTCACACCCCTTGAGTGGTTTTCTACCGACTCAGTAACAATGTTTTTAAAAACAAGTTCTAGTATACTACAACAATTTTATGTGAAAACTATTCCATATATCAAGATATCAAAAGTGCTCCTTTAACAAATGTGCGCCAAGTAAATAAATATCATTTAGAATTGCCGTGTGCGTGGTTAGGTTGATTTAAAGTCGCCTTTAACAAATCTTTTGAAAAACAAAAACAAAAACAAAAAAAAAACTAGCTCACAGAGTTATTAAAATGTTCATTTTGATTCCAGTTCACTTTGATTTCTTCACAATCTTAACCAGACTCGTTAACCGTTTTGAATAATTCTTTAGCTAAGTTTTCACAGGGTGGTGTAGTTATGGGCTGGAAAACAAGCCAAATAAGGCTTCAGATCATTTTAAGGTTCGTTTTTGCAATACGAATTCTCAATAATTTCGTAATTTGAAGTGTTACAGGTGCATGTCAAGGGTGAGGTTCTCTTCTTCAATATGACTTTACGCTGTCAGTTTTGTATGATGATTCTTTTAAAAACACTTCATTTGTAATGCTGAAAACATGGAGAGAAAATGGAATAGCGAGGGAATAAGTCTGACGGTGTGGCCAAATTACAAAAGACACGGAAAAAACCTAAATATTAAATAATTTTTCATGCTGTTGTTATACTGTTCGGCGTGTCTGCGGGTGTACGAAATCTCCATAATAATACTTTTAACAGATATCTATTATTAGTTTTTGATGAATATTCATTCAAAACATTTCAGTTTTGCATGATGTGGCACGACAGTTAATCAAACTTCAGGTATCAGAAGGAACCTGATGCGACCTGTTCCTTAACTTTTTTTAAGGTATCATTAAACGTTTGTAACGTATTCGAGAAGGCTTATCAAGTTTTAATTGGTTATACCTTTTAGAAAGTTCAAGTGTTACCTCAAACAAGTCCATAGAAGTGTCATCACAATGAGAACATTTGTTCGTTGCACCATAGTTAGTAGAGGGAACTACTAACTATGGTTGCACAGTATATAATTTGTCTACAGCAATATACATCTTTCAATTCTTCAGGGACAAAAGGCAGTTTGATGCAGAAAAGAGTTACTACCAAGTCTCATCACAACTTGATGTATCACTACGCTTTTAACTACCTCTGCGTGTGTCTTTCATTATGGAGAGGCCCGCAAGATATCCAAGCAAGCACAAGGGAAAGTTAGTGGCCTTTAGTGTTTGTCATGTTTTTTTTTCTGTTAATCCTTTTTATTGGCAAAGGAAGAGTATCAAGTTAGGTATGCATTGTAGTCTGGACAATCTTCTTCGATGCCACTTATTCCATCTTAGCTCCATTTAGGTTACGGAGGTTTTTTTTGGCTTAAAAAATCTTTTCAAAAGGCACCACTAACTATGAAAAAATCCACTATTCGTGGCTCCATTCAAATTAGTAATATATTCCTTGGGTTTAAATTGTGTCAACCATCATGCATCTGCACCTGGATTAAGCTCACTGTTTCAGTCAAAGCAAATCTCCCATCAAAACGTTATAACTATCTTTAATTGGGCATATTTTGACGATATAAAACCTTTACATGGTAATTAATTGACAGTACTAGTCTTCAAATCTGTCACTTTCTTCATTTTAAACCATCAAGTTTCGTGCGTTTCATCAATCGTATAGGCTGCAGGTTTCTTTTCTGCCGCAGTAAATTATCCTTGATTCAACTGCCAATAAATCTCGTCGGAATTCTTTCGAAATTAAGAATTAACGAAAAATAGTGCGTTTAAGCATAGCTAATATTAGAATAGAAAGCTCGAAGTCATTTTAAACAGTTTTTATTTCAAATAAGTAAATTTTAGATTGCTTGCTTTTCTTTTTTCTTTTCTTTCTCTTTTTCTTTTTTTTTTTTTCTTTTGCCATGCAATAGATTTATCTTGCTTTACCCATATAGCAATTCAGTTCAGGATTTTGAAAAATTAATGACTCAGTCAAACCATATTTACAAATCTACGCAGAAAATCAATTTAAAACGGGTCTTGGGTTTTTCCCCTCTGAGGTCAGGAGGCCTTTCCGCGGAGAATTTAGAATTCCTTTTATTCCTTGACTTAATGAATTAACCTTTTTGTGTGTTTAATTTTGTTTTTGGTTTCTAGTTTTCTTTTGCGTAGACATCTTACATGCGAAACGGGCCCAAACAGTGCTCTTTTTTTTATTTGCATGAAATTCAGCCCTCCTGGCCTCGGCACGTACAAGTAAAGGAAAACTAAGTAATCATGCCCGCCAGAACGAAACAGGTTTTGATCGCTTTTCGTCTGCAGATCAAAAGTGATTATTTAAATCGAGAGGGAAAGGACGATGTTGTTTCTCCGGCTTGGAATCCAGTGGGTTACCATATTTTCTTCTCATGGAGCTCAGCTTGACTTTTGAAAAATAAGACGTGAAATGAACATTTAAAATCGCTCGTTTGATTTAAGCTTTAACACACGTATTTGCACGCGCTTTCCCTTAGTTTGGATACCATTTACAGTTGTGGCAAATCTTTATTTAGGATTTCCTGAACTTTTACTTCAAAGGTATTGCGTGCTCATTTGACGCCAGCTTATGTGGTTGGCAACAGTCTTCAAAAGACAACTTTGATTGGACTCTGCAGTCTGGGCTGACTCCTACTGAAGATACTGGGCCAAGGAATGGAGATCACACGACCGGGGGAGGTATATTTAGGAATAGATAGAGCGTGATTGAATGGCGATAGAATAGTACTAAAGTATGGACAACAGCGAATCGCTAGCGAGCGCGGGTTTAACTGAATGAAAATCAGAAACAGAGGACTGAAAAAGTAAGCTTTCCATACTATGATTCAACTCGTAACTTAGTTGTATCATTAATGTCCGNAGATACTGGGCCAAGGAATGGAGATCACACGACCGGGGGAGGTATATTTAGGAATAGATAGAGCGTGATTGAATGGCGATAGAGTAGTACTAAAGTATGCACAACAGCGAATCGCTAGCGAGCGCGGGTTTAACTGAATGAAAATCAGAAACAGAGGACTGAAAAAGTAAGCTTTCCATACTATGATTCAACTCGTAACTTAGTTGTATCATTAATGTCCGACATTCGATAAGATCATCATATATTTAAGCACCTTCTATGTAGAAAACAATATAAACCGTTTTTAACCGACAAAACAGCTTAAAAGGGGTAAAGTTGCGGATGGTTTTGGTGTTGCACCTGATAAGTCGCGAGGGTGGCATGAACGATCACGATCAATTTAACAAGAGCCATGCAAATAAACCTTTGACCATCAAATGAGAAAGATTTCCTAAAACTCCGTTGTACGCTACGTGCTTACGTTTTTTTCTTTTTCAACAGGGAAATACCTTTACACCGAAGCTGACTATCCAAGGAAGAAAAATGACATTGCTCAGATTATTTCACCGTCTTTCTCTGGTGCTTTTTGTGTCTCATTCTTCTATCACATGCATGGAGCTGCCGTGGGTGGCTTACGGTTACTAGTCACTAGTGATGACAGAGCTGTGTTTGAAATAAGTGGAGAGCAAGGATGTGATTGGATACAAGCTCAAGTAGTCATAAATGGATCAAAAAGCAAGGTAATGGCAAAAAGGGATTTCTAGAGTTCAGATAGGGCTGCTTTTTTTTACTATTCCAAAAAAAGAAAACGAACATCATTTGCAAACACTTGGAATTATTAACTGTGGTACGTATAGAGAAAACTACTGACTGATTAAGGCTGCTAAATACAGAATTTGGAAAAGTCATGAGTTATATTGAAATAGCAACTTAATTGGTTTAGCTTCTGAAAAATCCAATGTAAGAACATTAAGAGAGAACCCGAAGCGTTTAAATTTATGTGCCACTTCATTTTAAACGCTAAAAATTAACTTTGGTTTCAGAGAAGATTTTGTGTAACCCTTACTTACCCTGCACGTAGTGTTCTGCAGCAATGCCCGAGTTGTAGCCAGATCATCCTCTTTCTGAGAGGTACAAAAATATGTTTCAGCTAACGTTTGAAGGGAGACTGGGCACTGGGGACCAAGGAGATCTTTCATTGGACGATGTATCTGTGACAGATGTTTGTAATGGTACGACGTAACTTACAGTGTCACCGTGTATTATAGTTACCATTTTTTTGTTTGTTTTGTTTCTCTTTTTTAGGGGAGGGGAACTGGCATTTCCATCTCCCTGATATGTACTATAAAGAGAAAGAAAAAAACCAAACACAAAAAAACGGAAAGGTTTTTCA